TTGGGGTTTAGGGTTTAAGGTTCGGGGTTTGGTGTTTAGGAGTTAGGGTTCAGGGTTTGGGGTTTAGTGTGTAGGGTCCAGGGCTTCAATGGGTGAACGAAGGGAGGGTCGTCTCTCCAACGTAGGAATGGAGGTGAAGCGGGGTCTCGTCGGAATTGTTTCGCCGGTTGCTGAATCCAACTCCGACGTTCTCCTCTCGCTGTAAAAAAAACCTAAGCCCCCATCTGAGTTGCTCTGAAACCTGGACAATCCTGAAGCCCTTAAGATCTTAAAACTGTAAACCCCTAAAATTCCATCAATCCTACCTCGCCTGCCCTTCCGCACTTTGATCTCATCGACATACCGTGGACTGTGGCATGTTGTGCTGACGTGTTGGTTTGGAAACGTACAGCTGAAGACAAGAAATCACTAAACCCTAAACCCTAAACCCTAAACTCTAAACCCTAAACCCTAAACCCTAAACCCTAAACCCTAAGCCCTAAACCCTATATCCTAAACCTTAAACCCAGTCGGCCGTGGACGACTCCTTGGTTCGAGGCGCCCTGCTTCAGTGGAAAGCCTTCAACCCTATACCCCAAAGCCCTCAACCCTATAATTTCGGGGCCTAGATTTAGGGTTTAGGGTTTAGGGTTTAGGGCTTTGGGTTTAGGGTTTAGGGTTCCCGATACTATTTTGGGGGCTCCTCATTGTAATCATAGGTATAGTGGACCCCCAAAACGCTATTCTAATTGTTAAGGCCCCTACATGATCCTCAACCCCACCAAACCCCAAAACCCCTGATCCCCTCAAACCCTACGCCTACGCCCTCCACGGCCCGAAGCCTTTGATGGAGGCCGAGGCGCATGGCCTTCGGATCGAGATGGAGGAGATAAGCTTAGGGCTTCACGGGTTCCTTTTGGCCGGTCCTGGACGGGTTCCTTTAAGGGATCCTTTTTACAGGGGTCCTTTAAGGGGCTGGTGAGGGTCGCTTCATCAGTTTAGGGCTTGTGGGGCATATAGGGCTTTGTTTTTTTTTTTTTTT